CTTTTTGTTGTTTTTATTGAACCCCCAGAGGTCTACTTGGGCATAATTTATACATCCTCATTTCTAGTACACCCACACAGCAGGAGTTTGGAATGGTGTAGCTACAAGAATTCCCAGAGCCAGTGCCATCCAGGCCAGTGAGTTCCATTAGGGACCCAGATCACCAAGGCCATTATTCAGAAGAATTTCTGGATTAATCTAGCAGTTGCCATTATGCCACTGTAAGTATTCTGTAGATGACATTAGCTCCAAGTATTTTGAGAAGAAACCACTTTGCTATCCCCAGCATGTACTATGGGTAAGAAACCTCACATGATTTTACGTCCCAAATTTATCAGAGGCACTAGAGAGAGAAAATGCAACTGTCTAATTAAAGTGCTGTTTTTAGGACAGGACACTTCAGCAGTCTGAGTCCCCACAGTCAGAACCAAATGCAACACAGCTTACTTGAAGATTTTTAGCCTAACTATTATGATCTGTCTATCCAGAAACAAAATAAGGTTTTGCTTAAAAGTAATAGGTGAGGCTTAAAAGTCATCAAGTATCAGAGACATGGTAAAATTTCCTTATCAGTTAGTAAGATGGAAAGATCTTTGACCAGATGCCAAACTCTGAAATTCTTGACCTTCTTTTCCTGTGGTGAAGAGAAGATAGAATGTAGAGGAACCACTTTGACAACTGTACCCTATTTATCCTTTGCTTCCATTCTGAAAGTTTGCTGTTGAACACTCAAAGTGACTATCTGGATCAGAATGAGCCAGGAGAACTTGTTTTGCAGAGTAGAGGTCCACACGTCACACAAATGACCTCCCCCTCACCACACTTTATGCTCGAGCTATAGTATTATCTTGGTCCTTGACAGTTAGCCGCTCTATGGACAAACTGACTCCTAGAAAACCACATAAAAAGAAAAACATTTTGCCCTAATTTTGGTTTACTTTTTCTCTCACTCAAATTAAGCTTTACTCTGAATACTATGATCTCATTGTATCCTTGGTCTTGGACAGCCATTCCAGCACGTTCCATGAGCAATAGTGTGAAAGAGGGAAAAGTTTAGCGACTATAGCTACCACTATTGTGAGGTAAAACTTTACACCCTGTTTATATATGCCTCAGACATTTAGGTGCATGCCCACCACACAAGTGGGCATTAAAGGCGATCTGACTGATTAACATGTTTGTTAGTTACACATTCAGCATGTGTGGAGCACATTACTGTAGAATGGGCAAAGCTTAAAACAGATTGACTGTTGAGGGTGACAATCACAGAAGCATTTGGTTTTAAAATTGGAACAAATCCTAGATATGACTTAGTTCAACCATCTCATTTTAGAGACAAGGAAACTAAGATGACCCAAAGAGGTTAAATACGTTATCGGAGGCTTGGTAGTGACAAAGCTGGAATGTGAAACTAGGTATCCACACTCTCAATTTCAAACTGCACTCTGTACTGACTCTGAAACACATGGGCTTGTGTTTTGTTACATGTATTGTGATGGTCTTGACAGGTGTGCTACCCCCAGTAGAACATGTATTCTTTAAGAAAATATTCATCACAGGGCACCTAGGTGGTTCAGTTGGTTAGCTGTCTGACTCTTGATCTCTTAGCTCAGGTCTTGATCTCAGGGTTGTGAGTTCAAGCCCTGTATTGGGTTCCATGTGCACTTAAAAAAAAAAAAAAATATATATATATATATATATATATATACATATGTATATATATTTTCATCACTAACTTCTGGCATAGGATTGCAATAAATGTCTGTTAAAAAAACAAATAAGGGGTGCCTAGGTGGCTCAGTTGGTTGAGCGACTGCCTTCGGCTCGGGTCATGATCCTGGAGTCCCGGGATCGAGTCCCGCATCGGGCTCCCTGCTCGGCGGGGAGTCTGCTTCTCCCTCCGACCCTCCCCCATCTCATGTACTCTCTCTCTCTCATTCTCGCTCTCTCAAATAAATAAATAAAATCTTTAAAAAAAAAAAAGAAAGGAAAAACAAATAAGTGAGACCTACTTTTCTTATTGTGTACAAATAAATGTTGTAATTTTTAGTGATCTCTGCTAGTGCGTGGTCAGCCTAGTAATGAAGAAGGATAGAGAGGATAGAAAGGTTGAAAAAGGTAGAACGAGAAGGCAAAAAGAGGTAAAAGGGGTATACAGTTCAAGTAGGAATATAACTGGAAAACAATCAGTACACAGACAAAATTTCTAGATTCAGTTTGGGAGCTTTTAATCAAGACTCTTGCCTCTTCTGATCTCTCCCAATTTTCAAATAAGGACATTTAAGCAGATGGTGCATTAAGCAGATCTCATCATTGCTGCTCTCCCTCAGACCCCAGAAGACAAGATGGACGGCAAGTTAAATTGTATAATAGGCAAAGTTGCTCTTGAGTGTATCCCACTTCCCTCTGGCATATCCCCCCTCCCATTTGGCACCCATTCCTAACCCATGTTGCTGCTACTATTCTTATCCCGGAGGAAAGTGCATGTAACTCCATGTGATCCTCTTTCTGGAATATTTTCCATTTAGAAGACACACCAGGAAGACAACTTACACGGTGGCATTTCAGATCAGTGGCAAGTGAGCAGAGGGGATGGATATGTATGGACTGGGTTTGTCTCTCCTTACAAAACATCCAAAGTCAATTAAAATAGAAGTGAGAAAATCCAGTTATCATACCCCTCTGTGAGCTTGTGTTCCTCCTGAAATGCTTACATGTTGTAAGTCAATTGATACTAAACAATGCCTGTTAAAAAAAAAAAAAAAAAAGAATCAAAGGATCCAGGGTTCTAAGTATAACACATCGATGGCTTGGTACTGGAGAACTACATCAACAGTACAGGACATCAGTGGGAAGTGACTACTGGCTGGAGGGCTGTACCCAGAGAGTGGTTATCAGTGTGAAGTGTCAGTTTCTAGAAGAGCTGGCTATGCTCCAGCATGCCAGGAAGTCTAGATGGAAGGTATGAAATACAGTCTTTTTTAGAAGTGGTGCTGCACAGTTGCCAGATAACCTGGTGAGACCCAAATGCTCCTATGGGAAGAGATTAAGGAGATAGACAGTCATCTGTTTTGGATGGATTGGATCCCCTTGGCTAAAGCCAAGTATGGAGATCCAGCTTTTCATCCAGTATTCCTTTGAGCCATTGAAATTTGGCAGACCCTTCCAATCAGCACAACACCTAACTACCTCGGCCACTCTCCCCCTTCGGTTACTATGATTCCCCTCTTTTCCTTAAACATACCAAGCACACTTCCATCTTTATGATTTACCCTTTACACTTTCTCTTCCTGGAACACTTTTCTCTCATATGGTCTGTTGAGCAAGTGGCATCTGTCTCCTATCACCGGAGGTAGAGGTCCAAGCACTTCTTCCCACTGTGTCTTATTTGAACTGCCAAGAAAAACACAACACAGTCAAACACTGGATAGAGCAATGCTTTACTCACATAGAGAGGAGATAGAACAAGATCTGCTCTAATAGTGAGCCTTGGTCCTCATGGCCTTTGGGTCCTTCCTGGCAGCTGATTCAGAGCCCTTGGCCCGCAGGCAACCAAGGACCCTGTCCACTCTTGGCAGGGGATAGATATAGTATGCAGTTGACCAGGTGTCATGTAACATGTATACTTAAGCAGAGCAAAGGAGTACACATTGAGTCCGAAACAGGGAAAGATATCCCCACACAAGACAAGAACCAGGCACAGGATGTGAGGATCTCTTATAAAGGAAGTGGTCCAGGCTCAAAGCCCATTCTTTTTTCTTTTTTTTAAGATTTTATTTATTTATTTGACAGAGAGAGAGCGCAAGCAGGGGGAGTGGCAGGCAGAGGGAGAAGCAGCTTCCCGCTGAACAGAGAGCCTGACATGGGGCTTGGTCATGACCTGTCAAAGCCCATTCTTTTTTTTTTTTTTTTTAAGATTTTATTTATTTATTTGACAGAGAGAGAGAGAGCAAGAGCAGGAACACAAGCAGGGGGAGTGGGAGAGGGAGAAGCGGGCTTCCTGCCAAGCAGGGAGCCCGATGTGGGACTCGATCCCAGGACCCTGGGATTATGACCTGAGCCAAAGGCAGACGCTTAACGACTGAGCCACCCAGGTGCCCTGTCAAAGCCCATTCTTAATGCGGCCAAGATGAGAGTTGAAAGACTGCACACGTGAGACCATCTTTTCCAATATGTTCCACATGGCTTCTTACTATTCCCACCCCAGCACCAACAGCAACCTTCTTCTCCCCACCCCAACCCAGATCTTTGCTTCCATTATCAAAGAGGCCTTCTGAGGCCAACCTTTATAAACATAGCCACCTCCAAATCTATGAAGAGAAAATCTTTGGTTGTTTTGATAATTGTCGTATTGCCAGCATTTACGACAGTAATTGCACATAGTAGGTGTTCAATAAAAATGTGTTGAAGAGATTGGTAACATAGGTCTTACAAAGGAAAAGTCTTGTCTCATGATGCCTAGAAATCAGTGAAGGAAAACTTTTCAGATGCTTTCATAGAGCAAGTCATTCACCTACACTGCATCCAATTTACACTTAGAAACCCAACAAGTCTTAAAGAAAGTGATATGTCCAGGTAAGCCAGATAACACCATTATCATTCAGTTCCCATCAGGGCTCCAAGCAACTTTAGAAAACCTGTCCTCTGATATACAGCACTAATTCGTGTCTTACAGAAAATCAAATAAATTATTTTTTTACCCAAAGGGAGCAGGATTATTTGACTTCAGATATTTGCCATATGGCTTCTCTTCCACACAGCATAGCTTCTAGGCTTAAGGTAGTAAGAGTGAGAGCATGCCTATAAATTACTCAGAGATAATTCAAAATAAGTGTGTATCTTTGACAGATTGTCAAGTTTCTTACTGCTTTTTCCTGATAACAAGGGCTATGTTTTTGATAAAAGTTTGCTCACTTCTCACCACACTTTATTGTTGTTCTGTGTATGTTTTTTGTTTGTTTTGTTTTGTTTGTTGTTGTTTGTTTCTGTTCCCCCCACAGAGTCCAGTCTGGCTCTTATCTCAGCACGGGGTGGTTTACCTTCATTCTGGCCATGGATGCCTGTTACGGCATTCACGTCTACGGGATGATAAATGACACCTACTGCAAGTAAGATCACAGGAAATTATTTTTATGCATCTCCAATTCTGATATCTTGTCAAAATATCACAATTCATTTTAATACCATAAATCGGAGAAACAGATAAAGCAACAATTATTTCCTGGTGCTCTTTGCTGACATGACATTTTATTGTCAGTGCATCAAGTTGTGACTTTTAGGGGTGATAAAAAGAAAAATATTTACCACAATCTAATGTCAAATGTCAGAAGGAACATTTTCCCCTTAATCAGTGGCATATAAGGGATTTGTGGCTTGGAAATACAGAACAGGTTTAGTGGTTATTTAATTTGCAAAGCAAGTTTGTCATTTCTGCCGCTCTAATGGCCTGATGGATAGCCATCAATGGTTATATTTGATCATGAAGGACAAAATGTCCTGAAGCCTCAGAGAAGCTGACAGCTTAGCAAGAATTCCTGGAAATTATGGTTTACTAATAAATGAGTAATCTGCCAGATCCATATTTAAAATAGATATGTTTATCCACAGTATATCCCTGCTGGAGGGATCATTTCTAATTATTTAATAAAACAAACCCTCCTTGCTTCATCAAAGTAATGAAATATACTTCCACACTAACAATTGGCACAATGTAACTCAGAGAGTATTTTAATCATATTGTCAAAATAGTAACTAAGCCACAATCTTCATGATCAAATATTTCTACCCTAAGTATAATGGAGCACAGATGTACCAAATATCTTACCCTGAAAAATCACAAAGCTTCTTTCAAGCTCTGTAAGAGCATCAGGCCATCCGAAGTTTGCCTCCATTATACGCTGTTTCCTCCTTCCAAGATAGGTATATGTTTGAATGCAATTGGTGTGATATATAAATTTTATTTGATTTATTAAGGCACTAAGGATCTGGTAAATCTTCCTAAAAGCTTTTATACATAAAAGCTTTTAACTGAGTTCATGGACAAGAATCATGCATGGGTTTGCAAGTAAATGCATTTACTAGGCCCATAATGGATTCTTGCAAATGAATGCTTCATTCTTCATCTCAATTCTTCTCCCCTTTTCTTTTCTTTTTTTTTTTTTTTTCTTTTTTAGGACAGAAGGATATAGAAAAGTCCCCTATCATTACTATGAACAAGGAAGAGATGAGTGTGATGAATATTTTCTTCATGAACATGCTCCATATGGGGGGCATAGGTTTATCACTGAAAAGAAAGTGTTTGCTAAATGGGCCAAGAAACACAGGATAATATTCACACACCCAAACTGGACAGTGTCTTGATGTTAGTTTTTTCTGATCTTGCCACAACACTTGACATGATCATAATACCACAACTGTGATGCTCATGATGCTGATGATGGTGACGATAAAGACAAAAACACTGACCAAGTTTCTGTACATTCTCCGATACGGATGGTGACTCTGCCAGTAATTTGAACTTGGGATTTCATGGAGGGTGGATGTGCTCTTTACACTCTTTCTGAAGGTTCAACATTACATATACCGCACTTTATAATTTAACTGGAATTTAAATGAAGGCCAGTAACATGACAGCAGTGACCTAAGACATGGGAAGATTATCCTTCAAGATAGCTGCCCAGAATTCTTGAACAGTGAGTAACTTTCAAAAGCCATGGGATTTGGCCTCGTGAGGCAAAGTTATTGACTCTCTGGTCTCTTGAACTTGAGCAGTTCCACCATCTTGAAGAATGGTTGATTGTCAAACACTGACCCAAGAAATGCTATCTGGGTACAAGTATCGTACCGCAGTTACTAGTTAGCCTAGAGGCAGAGAAGGAATCTCTTCCTGACAGACCCTGGTCCTACAGTACCTCCTATAGCTAAAGCCTCAGGCCATTGCCTAATTAACAATGAAGATATCACAGACATCCTACCCATCAGGATTCTTCAACAATTCAAACACTTAATTCAAAATGGGCCAACTAGCAAATCTTGAGGAATTTTCACTCTCACCACTCCATCCTCACTACCCCAAACAATATAACTAAACATGTCACTAGAGTGATCTCTATTACTGCTTAGTTATTTTTGGTCGAGTCCTAAATATTTCAGAAAGCTATTTAATATGTAAGATACCAACACTGTAATAACATATACTGTGAAAGCGTTCTTTAAACATAACCAAAAGGGTTTGCTAATTGTGCTTCAACATCCAACAACACAAAAATATATGCTTTTTAAAATCATGAAACAAGGAAAGCAAAGCATATTTTTACATCACTTTGTATCCTACCATACTTCATAATATATATTTGTATATTCAGATTTCTACTTTATAGGCTCAGCTGCATCTCTCCATACATTACATTATCGTTGCCAAGTGCCAACCACTAGACATGGAGAGGAAATGATTCCTTGTATTCAATCTGACCAGAGCTTTTGCCTTCTTGGGGTTCATTTTCCCCACAGTGTATCAGTTGTTATACCAGAATAACAACACTAATAATGACCTTAATGTCCAAAGTGCTTTATCATTTAAAGTCCTTATACATATGCTGTCCTATGTGATGCCTGTGACCACCCCACTGGGCTATTGCCTGCACATTCTGACGTCTCCTTAGCAGATGATCTGCAATTTGTTCATTGCTTTGATATATTCCAGATCTTTCCCTCTGCTAATATTTGTATAGAATAGCATTTATGTAGACTAGTAACCAATTGATTTCAGTGCCAAATAAATATATCAGGATTTTGCAAAAAGTATCACAAGGATCGTCCTGGCCATAGACTAGGACTCCTGTGAATGTAGGTACTTTTGAATTTTTTTTTTTTAATGACTTTTTAGGTAGAGAAAAATGAGGAAGCAGGGACAACAGGAGGGAATGAATGCAGAGAAATACAGTTTCCTGTCCCATCTTGAGATGACATTGTTCTCCATACACTCATTGCTCATTAAATATGTGAGGCTTGATTTGCTGAGAGAGTGGCCGAGAGACCAAAAATATCCTTGCAAATGATTCAAAAGACACAGCCGAGCTTAATTGACAGAACGATTTGAAGGATGAAAGTGATGACGCATTTCACGTGAGCAGCCTTCTGGAGGTCTTTACCAGTGCTGGGTCCCATGATAAGTTCTCATTAAATGGGGCCATCTTGGGCAAAAGCCTCTTTGCTGCTCTCTGCTTGCCATTTGGTTAACACCAATACTCAGAGCCAAGAAAATGGCCAAACGCCACTTCCATCAACACTCCTGTTTTTTCCTCGTGTGCTTTTCAGTTCTATGTATGTCAGGTTTTGTTGAGCGGACGATGGATGGAAATGCCCACTCAAAGAAAAATAAACAGATGCAAATGTTAAAATTGTAATACAGATGGTTTTCCCCCCTGTTTTGACACAGAAGTTCCACTTTTAAATAAAAAGGAACACTTGATTATCAGAATGCTTCAGGGAATGCCATAATTTATTTTGTTTTCTGGTAAATGGAGGGTTAAATCGATTTGTTTTAGTCCTTACTAATAAGACACTTTGCCCCCTTCCTGGCTCCCCTGCCTCTCCATGAAAGAGACTTTGCCATACCCACACGTACCCTGCTGTGGGAGGTGTGTGTAGAAAAGTCAGTGTTTCCTCTGGAAGGGTGAGGGGGGGCCTCCCCTCTCCTCTCTTCCTTCCTCTCCCTTCCCCCCCTTTTTTCCTTAACTGAACCCCAACCCCACTTTCTATTGTTGTTGTCTCTTGCCTCCTTTTCTCTAAAAGTGGGAAACAAAAAAAACAGTATTCTTAATTTAGAAACCTAATTAGATGATTTCCAGTGTAATCAGCATTTTGATAGAATCACGTAACTTATTTTTCTCTGCAGTCTTAGTGTTCCCTGCTTCCATTTCCTGTTCCTCTTTACCCTCAGCTTCCCAATTCTAGTGGGAATACAAAGTGTAATTTCTCCCATATTGAGAAATTTGTCATCTAAGATTTACGGATAGAGAAGAGAATGACAAAGGAGCAATTCAGACTTGTCACACAAGTTTCTGGCCAATTTCACTGGTTCTAGCCAACTGAAAGATTTCATCCAGCAGCTAAACTTTGAAGAATTCAACCAAACTCACTCATCACTGATGTATATGTATTCCAGAAGTTAATTAACATCTGTAAAAAAACAAACATATTCCAATTCCATCCAAGGCTCTAGGCAAATGGACTATTGAAAATGGCCACAATTTGCTGAAATCAGCGTTAAAAACATGCAAGCTAGAAATAATAGAGTAAATATTATTTTTAATTCTGCAGAATTTTAGAAAAAAAGCAAGGAAATTTAAAAAGAGTTTTAAAATGAATGTTTGAGTCCTTTCTAAGTTAGCCTCATGACTAAGTAGTAATGATTTATATTGTTATGATGGTAATGTGAATTAGAAAACTTCTAGACTATATCTTACCTTGCTATGAAGCCTATCGAAGAAAAACCAATTTGGAAGGATGTTTGTATATATGCACATAGAGTTAGTGTGTGTGTGTGTGTGTGTGTGTCTAAAATCATACCTGTAATCCTATATTTTTCAGTGATGTGTATGAATCACAGAAAACCTGTTTTAGACTTCAATGAAATTTGTTGGTTTACATTTTGAATCCTGATGAAAAAATAAAGCAAAAATCCAAATTAAACATACTGATTGTAAAGAGTACATAGATAATATTCAATGGCTGGCCCATAGAATAAAGCTGGAGAAGCAGCTCTATCTAGAACTGTGAACACAGTCAGGTGCCGCACTTGTCACAGATCAGAACTCTAAGGATAGCAATCTCTGTTGTAGGCTCTGACGATCGCAGTTCAGCTAGTCACACTAAAAAACACTACATCAAGCTGCATTCACACTGAAGTGAATGAACATTGGTCCCCTTATTCAAATAAGCCTGTCTTTGACATAAGCAAAACTCAGATTTGCATGGTTTTTATTATATGGCTAGAGAACTGTGACCATTGTGAAAAGAGAAAAGTGTATAAGGAGATTACACTTTGAGGATTTGAAATGAATCAGCTGTTGTGGGAGCAAGTCTGAATTGGGGACTTTGCTGACCTTTCCAGAAGTATAAAGCCATCAGAAGAGAATCACTTTTGAAGGAACATATCCCGGTAATTGTCCATATTCTCTGTTATCTATGTTTATTGCTAAGACTGCACAACCTTCTGTTATCATGAAATTGTAGGACTAATTTAAGGAATGTAAAAGTGAGTATCTTACTTCCTTGTTGTTAAGAATGATCAAGCTACTGATACTCCTCTAAGAGCGGTTGAGTATGGAAGGTGCTTGGTATAACTGGCATGTCCTATTGTCCAATTATCTCCAGACACCAAGTGTCCTAATTCTCAAACCAATTTGGCTGCTCGTTAGTGAAATAATCTATCTGCACTGGCCGGTAAAATTCTACCCTTTGTTTCCACACCGGTCTCTGTACCACACGTCATCTTCGAGGGCAGATACCCTTCTGGAAGGTAAGTCACAGCCCCAAGTGCTCCGCAGGACTTAATCATCATGCGAGATTGAAAGAGTTTTTTCTTTACTTTTTTTTTTTTTAAGATTTTATTTATTTATTTGACAGAGAGAGACACAGCAAGAGAGGGAACACAAGCAGGGGGAGTGGGAGAGGGAGAAGCAGGCTTCCCGCGGAGCAGGGAGCTGGATGCGGGGCTCGATCCCAGGACCCTGAGATCATGACCTGAGCCGAAGGCAGACGCTTAAGGACTGAGCCACCCAGGCACCCCTGAAAGAGTTTTTTCTTTACAGTCCATTCATATGATATTGTTGGAAGAGGAGAATTTTGAAGCTATATTCACTAGGCTCTGAAAATGGTTTCTTTGACTCCGAGATAGCATATTGTTTTGTTGCTTGTTTTTGCAGAACCTTAGAGAAGCCACTAGAGTAAAATTCCATGTAAACTGGTAAAGCATCAAATCAGAACTATCCTTGGGCATTGTAACTTTGCAGAAAATCTCATTTAGTTTTTTTAAGTCCTCTACTTTTTTTCCCCTTTTCAGAATAGGCACAATTTGTTTATGGAGTAGAAAAGCTCTTCTTTCTCCACAGACATGTTTCCCTTTGTTCATGCCTTGGAGACTTCAGAAAAATAGAAGCTCACTTTCATAAAAGTGAAGAACATCTTGACGAATAAATAGCCAACTTCATATATTCACATTTTTGCCTATATAGTGAGCAGTGTCTCCTGAGAAACTCCAAAGAGACACAAACCAGGGCATTTCATGGTTCCTTGTTACTAAATCTTCAAAGTACTAATTTCCTTGTGTTTAACTTTGTTGTCATTGCTACTGAGTAAATACCCATTTCTATTACATACAGTATATTTTATGCTTCACTCATTTTTCTGAGTTCACACAATTTTTGCTGTAGTCTCTCATTCACTTTAAAAACCTGTAATCTTCATCTATTTATAGCAGAGACTGTAAACGCACAGTTTGTGCACTTGGTGAGCTTTTTTTCTAGCATCATATTGCTTTATTTATAGGCACCGTGCCTTAGAATAAAGCTTACTAAATGGCAAAGGGCTACTGGCGTATTTCAGTTTGGTTTGTTTTTACAAGATAAGTGAAGAGTTGTGAACAAAGCCAGAGAGTATTTGTCATTGAAAGAAAAAAAGCAAGGCAGGAGTGGGGGTGAGGGGCAGAGGGAGATACTCAATATACTCAGTACCCAGGGCAGAAAGGCATCCAGGGTACTACTGCAGACAATGACAAGAGAAAATGTTGGTTAGCCTCCAGAATAGGTTTTGTCCACATTAACTATCTAATGCTGAGGCATATTTCAATTCTTGCTGTATCAGACCTGATAGCAAGTTGGGTAAGTACGTACGCTGCTTAAAATACAGAAGTCTTCATTCTTTCCTCCCTCCCTCCTTCATTACTTCCCTCCTTTTCTTCCTCCGCTCCTCTTTTTCTCCCTAATTTTCTTTCTAGAAAACTCAGCACTCTTGAAGTTGAACATTATATGTGGGCAGTTTCTCATTTTACAAATCAACTTCTAGTACTCTACCAAACTCTATAGGCAACCCCTATTTGGATATGATCTTAAAATGAGTCTTCTTTGGGAATAAAATTATAATAACTTATATGCCATGTTTATTATAAGGCTGTATACCTCATTCAATCCCCTCAAATACTCTGTGAGGTATGTAATGTTACTATCACTGTGTCACATACAAAGAAAGAGAAGCACAAAGAGGTTAAGTTGCTTGACCAAGGTGGCACAATGAGGTTTTTATAACCAGGCAGTGTGACCCAAAGTCCATACCTAGTTGGAGCAGGCTAATAGGTATAACCAATGACCCCAACATTTCGGTGACTTAACAATAAGATTTGTTTAGATGCTCCTCTCCAACCAGCTTGTCTCTAAGGATGATTCAAAGACACAGGCTCCTCCCATCATGTGGCTTTGCCCTCCTTTGCACCCTTAGAAACCGCACGATTTGGCCTGCTAATGGGGAAAGAGCATGGAAGATTCTGCATTGGAAGGTTTCATACATAAGTCCAGAAGTGGTGTGCAGACTCCATCCACATTCCATCTGACAGGCTCAGTCACGTGGCCTGGTAGAGGTGAGCAGTGTTATCTGGTGTCCCAGGAGGAAAAGGACCAGAGATTGGTGAACATGTAGCAGTCTCTGTCATAATATTCTTAGTCATGATAACATATAGCTTAAAAAAATTACTGTTTTGTGCAACTGTATGGATGAATTATGTTGATAATCCTTCTTAAGAACACTTAAGAAAAAACTTCTCTTCACATGGATGTCAGTATCTACACCCAAACAAAATAAACGAGGGAACAAAATATTGTTCTAGGTCCTATAATGTCAAAAAGAGAGGAAATTTTTTCCCTTACCCAAAGAAATAAAGACAAATTAACATGCTAGCAACACTTTCAAGTGACTTAATTCTACCAACAGTAGAAGTAACGTGACTTTTAATGTCTTACTGACCTTTGATTAACATAAGATAGATCCATCCTTGCCTCCAATCAACCAGTTTTGTGTTGTGTGCCTCTTTCCTTTGTAAGATGTCACAAAGATCAACTTCCCTTTTAAACTTCCCTTTGGTCTTCAGGTCTATGCAATGTTGTGATCATTTTTTTTTAAGTAAAAAATGAAACTGGTGGTTCTCATATCTGAAAATAACAAATATCTCTCATGTATGTCCCTCTCTTTCTCTGTGCACATTGGCATATGAGCTTGTTCAAGGAAAAGAGTCCTAATATGTCCATATTTCCCTTGTCCAGCACACGGTATATTCCCATGGAGAGAGGCCCTTCAGAATGTTTCTCTTCAGCTCCCAACATTTTTCTTCCTTTCTCAATACTTTCTATTTTTGCACATTATTTTCTTTAAGCTATCTAGAAATCCTTTTCCCTTAATGCTAACAGAATTCCACATCCTAAAGTTCTTTCTCACCTAATAGGAAACTATTTGCTGTCTTGGGAAAAATGCTTTGTATGTTAGCATATAAATTTTCTTAGTTTGTCTACTGAGAGAGATTAGTTGAGACTCTAAAAACAAAATAATTAGAGAAGAGAAGCTGCCAGTGTTTACCTTCTTCCAGATCAATGTGGAATTCCTTTTAAGGACAAGAAACTATAGCACCTGGTTGGTAAATCACATAAGTTTGAATTTCTGGGTAAGGCTTGTTAACAGGTGATAATATCTGAAGGTGCTTTCAAGGATTAAATGGAGGTTCTTACCAGCCCTTAGCCCATGGCTAAAGCTGCTGAATAACACAAATACACAGTATCTACATGCACTGGCAGCATCTTACACCATGCATTGTTAAGAGTTCTTGCATCTGTCACGGGTAACATTTTGCAAACATACAATTTTCTATGCTTATGAAGTCAGTTAAAAATCTACGTAATCTTCCATAATAATTTTCCTCCACATGCCTAAATCTCCGCAGAAATATAACAGATACAATGCAATTCACTTAGAATGGTTTTCCGTCTTTAGTGGCAGTTTTACCTGAACTTAAAATGGTTTGTCCAACACATCTTTTGGTGATGCTGATTATAATGGGTTTCATCCCTAGTTTAAAAAAAAAAAAAAGGATATACTCTATTATCTTTGATAGATAAAAGGGGCATTAATGTTGAATGAGGACATTAATGTCATGCAAATGGATCTGTGGATCATGCAGAGCTGTGAGTGGCTGTTCAATATGGAACAATATAAAAAGGGGAAAAAAGCATTCAACAACACAAACATATGGGTTCAATACAACCAAATGAAATTTGACAGGAACAAATGTAAAGCAGGGCACTTAGGTTCGAAAAAGACAAGAGCATGACTTAACAGCAGTGCTCATGAAAAGTATTTGGAGGTTTTAGAACACTCTAATGTGATACATAGCAATCTAAAAGGTCACTGTGACCTAAGATGCATAGAAGAGTCTAAGTCAAGATAGCAAGGTCAGAATTGATCAGACTACTTCTGGAAATATTTTTAAAAACTTGTTTTTTCTCCTTAATAAGAAATTGCAAGCATTTTCCCAATGTCACTAAGTTGTCCTAAAACGTTTTTAATAGCTATATTGTGCCATAATGTATTTAACCATTCCTCCATCATTTTTCACTATATGATGAACAGGCTTGTTTATGAAGTTTTGGACTCTTCTCTGATTTTTTCTCTTTTATTGTACCAACATACAGAGGTGACTACTTCCCGGCACCCTCGCCAAAAATTGGTGTTATTTTTTCCATCTTTGCCAATTTTACATATGCTAAAAAAGTTATCTTGCTTTAATTAGCATCTAGCTGATTACTATGGAAATTAAACACTTTTGCATATTTCTTGGAAATTTGTATTTCTTCTTTCATGAATTAGTTCTTCCCACTTTTCATTGCAGTGGAAGTCACAATACCTTAAAGATACAGACAAGTGAGAATTCATTCAGAAGAAAAGGAACAAGTGAAGGGCAACCAGGATCACAAGAGAACCAGAAGTCGCGTTGCACCAGAGATTAGAAACATTTAGCTGGTGTGATAGAAAGTTTTAGGAAGAACTAAATTCAAACATTTAAAAGGCATTAATGCAGGTACAAAATGAGTTTCAAATTC